ACGGAGATTATGCTACGTTACGGGAATTACCGTTGATGACGTCACTGGACCCGGCCGACGATTCAACGTCCGAGGAGAACAAGGTACGCGGACCACGTGCGCCGTTCAGTCGCTCCGTCGCTCTTTCGTTCCGTCGTTCCGTCGTTTTTCTCACATCCACGGTAATGTCTCCCTAATCGACGCTCAGATTGGCCACAAAAATGGACAATTTGACAAGAGAGAACTCGTTTTTATAGTTACCGATTGTCAACGATTACAAAAACATGGCGCAAAGTCGGAACAATCGTGTCTCCTGTTCCCAAATTGTCCACTTTTCTGCACGATCTAAGCGTCAGTTAGGGAGACATTGCTGTATCTAAGATTGCTATGGCGACAATGTCGATAAGTTCTCCATCTGTCTATCTACATGTATATTTCTCTCTATCTGTCCATATTTTTTTCTCTATTTCTCTCTCACTCTTTCTCTTTCTGTCTCTGTCTCACCTCCTCTCCTTTGATCTGTACAGGCTTTTAATTTCGTTGTCTTTTGCTTCGACAGTGGGGAAGATGGCTGATAGCCCATACAGACGATATACCAAAATTCGCAGACGTAAGATGCAAGAGAATGCTGTTGTTCTGTGTCGAAATGCTTTGAGAGTACTAGCGTCGTTTGCCGATAGTTAATTTGTGTGCGCGAGTTCGCGGTTTCTGTGCCAGCATAGCCTTGCGAGCGAGACGTAGACGCGCCGAACGATCCTAACAGAATCTAACAAAAAAGGCCTCTAACAAAGGTTTCGTTTTCACGCTACTGTTGTTTCAACGTTGTTCTCGAGTTTGCGTTCGACGACGATTCTGCGATATACGTACACCTTTACACGATACCTGTAACGACTGAACATTACTCTTCCGCTTCACCCTCTCGCCCCCTTCTTCGTACGCCCGATTTTGATCGTGCTCGCTTTCGCGTTTACCGGATACGATTGAAAAAGCCTGCATTGTTCGCATGGCACGTGCATCCACCACCAAGTAATCGTTAACAGTTTTCAATAATTTTAACAGCTGCTCGAGTGTGTAAACGACGACCAAGTGACGTACTATGCAAGTGCGAACCGCGATCTGCAACCTTCGGAAGGTGATCCCTCGCCTATCTTGACTCCAGACCCTTTGTCCGATCCCACCTCGGAGCCACTCACATTGCCACCTCCGACCCCGACACGCGCACCGAGCACCGAAGTTGTCACGGCTTCGCTAACCACTAACATCCAGGTACTAACACGCTTCTCGTAATTTCAGACCAGTCCTCGAAAGCTCTCTGAACGCGGGCCGCTTAATTCCGTGCCCCCGTCGTAGACCGTTCTGTCCGCGGGTGGGCCAACTATTCCGATCGCGAGCACCGGATTTTTCGCTTGGAGAATAGAACAATTTATCGCAGCTTGAGACACGTCAAAGTAACGTTTAAATAGATTTCCGAATTCTCACAGCGCCTTCGAACAGAATGTAAATTTAACCGTACGCCGCTAACCCGTACACGGCCCGCGGAACCGACATAGTTTGCTCACCCATATCCGTCGCATCGTTATCGTGCTTGTAATCGCAATGTATCTAGCGTGCGTAAAGCGTGCACAGCGTGCAGTACTGCGGAGAGTAGCAAATCGCGAGCGAGAACAAGATTCGATGGAACGAAGAAACGGTCACGGACGCGGTCTTTTCTCGGTGTCGACGAGCTCGACGGTAGTCAGCATGTTCTCATTTCACTCGTGTTTCAGGTGAACTGCAACGGAGGACAAACGCCGCGATGCCTGCGCCGAGCGGATTCGGGGGTGCCCCACGAGGAGCTGACGCCCCGTTCGGATTCCTCGGTGTCGCCGCCCTTGGAAACTGTGGTCGCCGGCGGGAATAACACCGGCGTGGTTTGCAGCAACGGAGGAGTCGGTTCCGTGGCCGGCCACAGCAACGGGAGCAGCCACAGCGAAACGTCGTCGAGCGGGGTGCACAGCAACGCGAGCAACGCCAGCAACGGCAGCTGTCAGCGGCGAGCGACCAGCGTCGACGACCTGACCGGCGACCAACGCGAGGAGCCACGGGAACAGTGGCGTAGCTGCTCGCTGCAACGAGGCATGCAACCGCCCACGGCCGCTTCGATCGCGTTCTCGCCGCCGCCGCCTCTGCCGCCGTCCTCGATCTCGTCGATGGCTCGTCCCGTCGCCAACTGCCAGCCCTTCTCGTCGCCGCAGTATGCGAACCATGTGAACGCGAGCCTGAACGGGAACGCGACCGCGACCGCGACCGCGAACGCCAACGCGAACGCGAGCGACGCGCTCCCGGGATCCGGGGCCAGCTCCGTGTCTGGGTCCGGGTCCGGGTCCGGGTCCGGCTGCTCCGCGGTGATCCTCGAGAACTCGAACGAGGCGACCGTGGTGATCAGACGGAAGTTGTCGAGGACGAAGCTGACGGAGCCGCTGAACCCGAACGAGGAGCCGTTCGGCCGGTCGACGAACATGCGAATGACGTCCTTCACGGAGAGCAACGATATTCGCGTGCACGCCTCGTCCGCCACGTTACCGCACTATCCGACGCAGCCGATCGTCACCTATCCCCATTGCTCGACCATGCCCTTGCCGCACGTGTCGCACGCGAGCGTCGCCGGCTCGCACATGAGCGGATCCAGCGGAAGCTGCGGCTCCGTGCCGCGGCACACGTTCGTCGCCCACCCGCCGCAAATGCACTCGACCGTTCCCTCGCACACCACCCTGCCCTCGCACCACAACGGCGTCAGACTGTCGCACCCGGCCCCGGCCAACAATCCGTTCGTCAAACGATTCCCGCCTGTACCGCTGCACACGCAAGCCTGGGCGCTGCCCGGACACCACACGTTTCCTCAAACACCGCAGACGAACGGCAAGCTGTCGGTAGCCGCTCAAATCAGGCATACGGACCGCGACTCGGCCAACTTCTCCATGGCCAGCAGCGGCGACTCCGACACGTGTTTGCCTCATTGAACGAGCCGCCGCCGCGTCGTGCTTTTCTCCCCTCGCTTCGTTTCGCTTCGCTTCGTCTCGCCTCGTTGTTCCGTTTCGCCTCGTCTCGCCGACAAATCCGCGAATCTAAACGGCCCCCCCTTTTTGCCTGCCCGACAGTAACATATCAAACACCGTCGCAGTATCACCGATCGGAAAGAACGAGGTTCTCCATCCGAGCGTAAAACATGTATTTTTAATAGGACGATCAGAGTATCGCGACAACGGTCACACGACGATTCTCGTGCACCAACCGTTTCCCCGACCAAAATGTATCGTTCGAAGGGACATAATAGTAGCCGAAGCTCGTTTCCGAAAATATCTGTGTCTGTGGTGCAATATCTCGTGGCAAACATATCTCGCAAACTCGGGATCCATTTGTTGTTTCGGAGCCACCGTCGAACGCGAATGCCTGACGAACACCGGCGTAAATTGGCGATACCTCTTTTTCGATGAATCATGCGAACGAGGCATATTGTTTTTTTTATTTTTATTGCGAACGAGACGAATCGCAACGAAGCGAAAATGGGACGGACGACCCGCAATTTATTAATCGTGTCGCGTTCTAGAATCTCTGAGAATCGCTGAACGATAACGCTGCTCGAGAACGGTGCAGAATACACCGTTCGATTCGTTACGAATACCTCTCATTGTACCCGGGTATTCTGCCTATACTTATAGTTAAGGATCAAGTAACTCGCTTCTCGCGCGTGCTGTCTCGTATAACACTTTCGGCATTATCGGAACGGTCTCGCCGTGCGGTACTCGTCGCTACAGATTTTCTTTGATGCCGGTTCTCCCTTTCGGACTGCCATGCCGGACCCCGCTTTCCGCCCATTCTTCTCTATTTATTTATTTATTCACTCGCGACTGTCGGATCGCGGACCGATCTTTTCCTCTCGCCGGCGTTTAACTAACGTCCCAGGCGAAGGTAATAGCGCGCCCGCGCCATCGTTAATTTTCTCTCAGCGTTAATTATTATAATAACAATATTATTATCACAACAATAATATTGTGATATTATGATATTATATATATAATATATTAATATATAATAATATATAATTATATATTATTATTATTATAGATAATATATAATTATGATATTGTCGTCATTTCAAAAAGTTGTGACAACATATAGAATTTACTTATTTGTCAGAAAAGAATCGTGAAAACGGACTCGACGGTTTTAACCCCTTGCTGCAGCATTTTTATAATATATAGCCGTGCCTAAATGTTTATTTAAATGTTTAAGTTCTGATGACAAGAAATCACAATATTAATTCAGGCTAAAAAGAACAGAATTAATGTTTAGAATTAATAGGATTTTACTAGAAATCTCCACACACACACACACACACACATTCCACTCGTTAAAGTACTGCAAGGGGTTAAGCTTCCATAAATAAAATTAAAGATAGCACGCGCGCGCTATTCTCTTTGTCCCCCACAAAGGGAATATGTAACTCCGCGGTGATACCGAAGAGAATATCGTTTGGAACTCTCGACCGAGAGAGTCTCCGTGAACTCCGGTTTCTGCATGTAAGAAAATAGGAAAGCGCGCGAAAGAAAGAAAACGATACGGGAACGTTAGACGAGGCCAGCACGTGACGGCTACTTAGAAAAGTTTAAGGGAACGACTACTGCCACTAATTACGAGGATCCGCGGATCCGTGTTATACACATATACGTATTCAGTTGTTCGATCGACTGCCATGTTATTTCGTCCTTTTTGCGGATTCCACGGGGCAACGTTCACGAGCGAATAAAGCGTTTCGCTCGTTCCCACCGTGATTTCCTGACTCCAGCCCCACGCGCGTCCGCCGCGTCCCTCGTTTCGCGCCGCAACCACTTGTAACATAATTCCATTTAGACTCTCGCTTCTCTTTATCGCGCTTTATCTATTGTTTTTCACGGCTCTGTAAATGTTGTCAGAGACGCGCGAGAGACGGTAGAGAGTGCCTATTATTACACGCGCGTTTATTCGCCGCTTTTACACGCTTATACCAAGCTTCCCCGAGCTTTTTATCATGGCCTGTGTCGCGTGAAAACGGTAGCAGACGCAGTCAGAGTCGCCGCGCGTTGTTCCAACGCGTTTTGCATTTTCGTTTGCGTTTTGCGTTCGCTCGATAATGAAGAGCGATTGTGACACAAAAAAGCGCGCGGACAAACGCACTTTTCACGCTTCGTCCGGGTCGAACGAATACGTAAGCGAACACGACGAACGTTTCTTCCATGGCGGAATGGTCGCGATAGATTTGTTCTGTTTTTCTTCTTCTTCTTCTCTTTTTCTTTCTTTTTTTTCTTGTCTTTTTTAAACAAAGTCCGTTCGAGGCGCGTCGCACCTTCTGCGATATCGTTGCTAAACGGTGAAACGCGAATGGTTGTCGACAAATACGGTTCTTCAGGGCTTTCGCGTTACAAGAGAAAGAGAGTTGACGATAGTATTTTTATGGACGATCTTTACAAACGGCTCGATTCATTCTACAGAGAGGAGTAGCGGAACGAAACGCGCGTAGCAAACAGAGAAACACACGCGCGAACGCACGCACATACAAAGTTTCGCAGAACTACAGAATATAATCGCACTCGTAGATCAAATGGTAAAAAAAAAGAAAAAGAGAAAAAACACGATGCACGTTTTCGGTTAGTCGACGAATTAGAGGATCTTTTTGTCTCGTTATCGTTTCCTCGAATCGCGCGATCACGAAGAACCTTCAAATTTTAACGAATAATCGAAATGATGTAAGAACCGCTGCTCAAGGAATCGACGAGTATTCTTCTCTTAATTTCACTAACGATAAATATGTATCTTCCAACCGTGTTGAACGTAGAGAGACGTTGTTGAGGATGTTGAAGAGGGAGGATGTTGAACGGAACACGTTGTTTGTCCAAGGATGGAATCAAGACCGCGACTTAGCTCCGGCTCCCGAGCAGCTCGAATTCTATGTATGTGTACAGGCGTCTTTTTTATATGTATATGTGATCGGGTCGGGTCGGGTCGGGTCGAGTCGAGTCGAATAGTAGATGTTTAAATCGTGATTCACATGTATTTTTTATGCACTTTTTGCGCCAACGAAATCGACTCGACGCGAGACGGCGCGCGTCGAGCAATCGAGCAATTAAGGCAATCGAAATCCGCGTTTCGATTGCGAATGTATTTTCGAATACTGTTAGACACTTTGCGATTGGCGTCGACCAACCAATTTTTCTCCGCCCGCCTCGCTTCTAGCCCCCCGCGTGTCTTCATTATTTGACCGTCGCGCGTTTTCCTTTGAATCTTCGATCAGCGCGCGTACGGCGGCGCCTCGCGCACGCGCACCGCGATTCGGCGACGCGCCGATCGCTCCATCTAACGGTAGCGGAGGCAAGCTCGTTTCAACGTTTCGCGCGCCGCGATGTACGCTACGAACAAATGTACGCTGCGATGTACGCTGCAATAGGCGCGACAATACAGGGTGTCTCAGAAATGTATCGTAATCCGGAAACGGAGAGTTCCTGAGATCATTCGAAGCAACTTTCTCCTTAGCGGAAATGTTCTACGAGACTTCGTTTACGAATTATCAACGAAAATTAATGATCAATGAGAGGCGAGATTGCTTCGCGCGCTCGTTGGCTCGGCCGCCTCGCGTCAGCAGAGCTCGCGTCTTATTGGTCGGCGTTTTTCATTAATAACTCGTAAACGAAGCCACGGTTTGCATTNCGTACGGCGGCGCCTCGCGCACGCGCACCGCGATTCGGCGACGCGCCGATCGCTCCATCTAACGGTAGCGGAGGCAAGCTCGTTTCAACGTTTCGCGCGCCGCGATGTACGCTACGAACAAATGTACGCTGCGATGTACGCTGCAATAGGCGCGACAATACAGGGTGTCTCAGAAATGTATCGTAATCCGGAAACGGAGAGTTCCTGAGATCATTCGAAGCAACTTTCTCCTTAGCGGAAATGTTCTACGAGACTTCGTTTACGAATTATCAACGAAAATTAATGATCAATGAGAGGCGAGATTGCTTCGCGCGCTCGTTGGCTCGGCCGCCTCGCGTCAGCAGAGCTCGCGTCTTATTGGTCGGCGTTTTTCATTAATAACTCGTAAACGAAGCCACGGTTTGCATTTTCGCTAAGGAAAAAGTTGCTTCAAATAACCTAAGGAATCCACCATCCACAGGAATACCCTGTATAACGCAACACGCTCTAAGCTAGCCGCTAGAACGCTTCTCCATCGGTGAAATGACGAATTAGAAATTGTGAATTTGCGAATAGTGGCGGGTCACGCGTTGCGAAACGGCGGAAAGGAATAATGTTCTCGTATTATCGGTCGTGCGGCCGAGTTTATAGCCGAATAATAGCGCCGCCCTCGACGTAGAGAAAAAGAACCCGGCAACTTTTGTACCTCGGTAGGGATCGGATATAGTCTGGAATCTTTTCGCGAGAAAATACGGAAAAACGTTGTGAGAAAAAAACAAAGATTCGAATCTATTCTTCTACGATCGAAAGCATCGAAAAAACAAATGCAGTTAAAGCTTTATGATGTCGACGAGGAGGAGAGCGGAGCACCGCGCCGTGACACGGCATTGTGTACGTTCGAGAAACTCGAATCTGCGCGGTCACGCGGTTCCCTTCTTGTTGTATTATTCCTCTGTGATCGTTCTTTTTTTTTGGAATATTTTTTGGTAGCCCGACACGCACACACACGCGCGCGCGAGAGAGAGAAAGAGGTAACGAATTCGATTCGATCGCCGATCCGGCGAAGAATGATAAAGCTTTCACTGTACTTTGTATATTTTTCCACGCGAACTTTACTAACGAGTTTTCCTTGGATATCGGATAACGGTGTTGATGATGATAATAATAATAATTCAGAAGCTTGATTCCATCTTTGCGCATATAGTTGATCAAATCCGGATAATTACGGCGCGACGTATAGAGAGGACACGAGGAATGTTCAAGACGATTGTTTCGACCAAAATATGTATCCGTGAACTCCGGATCGGCAGCACTCGCGTTTGCAACCTTTGATGGACGCTATCGATGCCGAAGCGTCGCGAGTCGTACATATCACGATGGGTAAAATGTAAAAGGAAACAAAGAAAAAAAAAAGAGAATAAGCGAGCGGTGTAACTCCGTTCGCGATACGGCCGGAGCGACGACGTTTCTGTGCTATTCGTCGATGAACGCCGTTCGCGACCGGATCGGACCCCGTTCGAGCGAGATCAGCAATATCCGACGCGAGTGAACGCAAGAAAGAAACGTAGTTCGACGATAAACGTACGATCGGGCCAGTGCCGCCTCTCTTGGAGGCATATTTTTTTACCGTCTAGCATCGGTCAGCTACCGAACACACACCCGTTCGTTTTAGATTCAGCGCTAGAAACTTTAGCCCGCGAGCATAGACGCTATCGAGGGAAGGAAGGCTTTCACACCATTTTCAATACGATCGTTACTTTTCGAGAATCACCGGTATATGTATATACAGAGTATCCCGTAATTATGTTCGTAACCGTAATGAAGCGATTCTTCGGGTCATTCGAAGCAACTTTTTCCTCAGCGAAAATGCGATCCGCCGCTTCGTTTGCGAGTTATCAATGAAAAACGGTGACCAATGAGCGGCCGCCCGGCGCTGGCCGCGCTCGCCTCTCATTGGTCCAGCGTATTTCGTTGATAACTCGCGAACGAAGCCGCGGATCGCATTTTCGCTGAAGAAAAAGTTGCTCGAAATGATCTCAGGAATCTCTCCGCTCCGTGTGTTAATTATAATCGTCGGACACTCTGTATATATCGCGCATAGCCCTCTTCCGACCGGCTCGCCACTCGGGCGTCTATACTCTGACCGCGAAACACCGGAACGAAATAATTCAAGAACGAGTGAGATAGAGTGAGATAAATGTATCTAGAGTCTAGGGATAAAAAACGGATTAACCGAGAATGCATCGGCGCACGAGTATCCGCGGCAAGCATGATCAGCAAAGGAGAGACGGAAATGCGTGGAGGAAGAGAAGAGTGTATGCGTGTGTGTGTGTGTGTGTGTGTATACGGACGTGAATGTGCGTGCAAATGAGAGAGAGCGAGAGAGAGGGGATAGATGGACGGAGAAACGATGAAAACTAACGCGGATATCTCGCGGCGCATCATCCTCGACGATTCCTTTGAAACATGTAAATAGGATAAGGATCGAATCGATGAACAAGGCGAGTGACAAGAAGCGAGAATGACTGTAAACGAAGAGTTCAGCGAGTATGTACGAATAATTGTATAAAGACTGATTAGACTAGCCTTGGTATTTATTCGAGTACACACGCGGACGAACAAGCAGGTGGACAGACGGACAGACGGAAACTGACTGACCGACCGGACCGCAGCTGTCCGACTGACCGGCACGCGGACGAACGAGCAGACAGATTGACCGACGGAGTAACGGAGCGACGGACGGAAAAAACGTACGCGACAATTACGCAGAGATAATATACACGGGGACAGAGTTGATGATTGCTATCGCTTTGCGCGCTCTCGATTACACTGACGGAGCACGATACCAAAGGTATTTTCGACCAAGCTCCATTTTTCTCTTGTTCTTGGACTCGCGCGCAGCGTTTTGTTGGATCGCGTTTAACCACGGCGGATCGACGGATCCGACCGATGGTAAAAGAAGATATTCGTGCGAAAGGTCGTTTCGCTGGAACGCACGCCGCCGGTCTATTCGAACACGCCAGAACAGCGCCGACACACAGACGGACACAGATCGGATTGACGGATTGAACGGATGGATGGGGGATGTTAATATTGTTTAGCGATCTTGGTTTCTGTTACCGCGGCGAGTAATATCGGTCGCCACCGCGCGAAACCGCCGGCCGTGTTTTAACTCTCACCGCGTAGAAAACAGCGGCGAACCGAAGCGCGTCGAACGGTTGTGAATTTTCGCGGGGCAACAACAGATCGCTCGGTCGGTCGAATCGAAGAGAAAAAGAAAAATGGTTTGCACGGTTGTCAAACAGCGACATTATTATCGTCG